GCAGCAGTGTCATTTGACATGACATTCTCATATGTCGCTGCTGGATGGGAAGGTTCTGCGTTAGATCAAGCAGTTCTAAGATGGGCTGTTACTAGTGGGGGTTTTGTTGTTCCTGAAGGTAAAAGTTCAAACATATGAACTATATATTGATTAATCTTATTACATAAAGATTCTGACCGTGCTATCAAACCTTACGTGCAGGTAAATTTTATCTTGTTGATTCTGGATATGCAAATACTCCAAAATTTATTGCCCCGTACCGTGCAGATCGTTATCATATTGCTTCTTTTCGTGGAAGTAATCGACGATATACTAGTGAGAAAGATATGTTCAATCATCTGCACACACAACTACGAAATGTTGTTGAGCGAACTTTTGGTGTTCTAAAAGCTCGCTTTCCAATTTTAAGTAGGAAAGGAGGAATTCCTTATCCATATAAAACACAAGTCAAGATTGTTATGGCTTGTTGTATTATCCACAACTTCATCCGGAAGGTTAATCATCATGATGAGTTGTTCGAGCTTTATGAGCATGGGGAAGCACAACAACATGTTGACCATGGTGATCAGCAAGTTAGAGGGCAAGCAAGAGAAGATGAACGAGCTGCTGGTGAGAGAGTTCATGCAGGCATTGCTCGACAATTGTGGAGTAATCATCAACAGCATTCCACTCAACAACCAGAAGATGATTGAGCATTACAATATTATTTTTTAAATTTTATTTATAGATTCATTACAATAATAATTGTTACTATTTTTCATCAATTTATAGGTTCCAAAACTTCCCGTTCTGTATTACAAGATGATAGTAATGCTAAATTATTTTATGTACAACTATGTGCAATAAATTTGTCATTCGATAAGAAAAATGGCTCCCAGCTCAAATAATTCGACCTTGAAATGCAAACAAAGAAGAAATGTTTACCTACTCCGCCGAATCATCGTCCTCACGCTTGACCTCCAGCCCCGACATGGCCGCTATCAGGGTGGGCGGCGTCGAGCACTCTTTTGAGATCTGAACTTCCATGTACGGACGCTGCTGGACGGCCAGCATCAAGGGGCGGCGTACATCTGGGATGAGCTCGAGAAGAACCTATCCCCGAGCAAAGCCTATGCAGGGCCGATGAGGGAGGTCGCCCAGGGGCGGCGGACCTACGGGATGAGCTCGAGGAGCAGATCTCGCCGAGCAGAGCCTGTACGGGGACGACCAGAGTCGGCCTAGGTGACCAGGGAAAGCCTCCGCGCGCGGAATCGTCGAGGCCGTCCCGACGAGAGGAGGGCGCCGGTGTCTGGCGGTGAGGACAAACGACGGAAGAGGAATCACAGGCTGGAGCGGCTGGAGTCGAAGCTTTTGGGAAGTCATCGTCAATGGCCAAAATTGGGGAAAGAAAGAGAGAGAAGGCAAGGGGAGGAAGTGAATCGGTATCCTCCTATCCAAACAAGGAAATGTATACAAGCCAGTTTTATCCTTTCCAAACCCAAACGTGTTTCTATGTAAATTAGTTATCCAAAAATTCATTAGCAAAACTGATTTTGCTAAAATCCGGCTACAAACTCGTTTACCATGTATCCGGCCCTATCCAAACAACGCCTAAAAGTGACTTCACCAAGTTTATAAAGGAAGTTATCTTTACCTTTAATACAAACTCATGATGATTCTAATGGTATTCAGTTGATATTCAAGATTGATAAAAAAAATCGGTAACTTGATCAAAATTTTCAATTGTTTGACTCTAACAAATCTTGTATCCACTGTATTCTAAAACGAATGGAGTACAAAGAAATAGCAAGGATTCAGTGCAAATGCTAAATGGTGTGATAAGCAGTAACCAGACGTGAGTAACAACAAAATACTCCCTCCCTTCCTTTATATAAGGTGTATTTGTTTTTTGTAAAGTCAAACGAGTGCAAGTTTGTCCGAGTTTTTAGAAAAATATATCAACATTAACAATATGAAATTCATATAATTTGATCCATCATGAAAAGTAGTTTCATATTTTATCTACGAGGTACTACAGATGTTACTTTATTCTATAATCTTGGTCAAACATTCAAATGGTTGACTTGTGCTTATATTCTGGAACGGAAGGAGTATAAAAGAGTGCAACAAGTGGTCAAATCCCTGGTAATTCTAAGGACAAACTGGTTGTGTTACTTATGATGATCAAACGTTCTTGAGGATGTCGGATAATTGGATAGTTGTCAACCTCATATGTGACTTGCATCGATTATTCTTGCTTATTCGGTCTTGTAGGGATATAGCCTAATACTATGTTATGCAAAGCCACCAACTCACGGATACCTATGATTGTGTTCTTAGCGAGCAATCTGCAACTACTAAGATTTATTAAGGTAAACACCCAAGCATAGCCATAATTTCCTCTAGGCCCATATAGGTGAAGTGTCACGCATTCGACTTTCGCATAACACCACTAGAGAATAACAGCGCAACATGATCAACCAACAATCTTTACTGTAAATATATATGAAACTAGACAACTAGCTTTCGCTTGTATCCTCAAGAACACAAGTGAACTACTCACAATGCATCATGGTGAACATATTCAGTGGTAATGATAATGTTATCAATCCAAAAGCAATGATCTTTCACCAATAATACATAAGGCATCAATTACCAATACAACAATTAACACCAACATGTTGTAACAGTAAGCAATTCACACATGATACAAGGATGGATGAGATTAGAATGGGGGTGATGGTGCTGTTGATGGAGATGGTGAAGATGGCTTGGATGAAGATGTCCCCCCTTGATGCCTTGAAGTATGTGATGGCGATTGCTTCAAATTCCCCTGGTCCGATGTGCATATCTGGCTAGAAACAACCTTCTAGATAGAGCCAGGTTTCCACCTCGCATCGGCTGCGGAAACAATCGGAGAAACATGTATATGGAAGAAATTCTTCAAAAGTTACCATATGGGACCAATGGGTCACTAGAGGCCACACGTGGGTGCGCCTAGGCACCCCATGGCCCACCTGACAACCCCCTTCTGGCTCCTGGGATCTTCTTGTGCAAACCTTTGGGAACTAATTTTCTTTTATTTATAGGATCCTAGCAGGGTATTTTCTTCACGATGGTCCAAAATCCACCATGGACAACATCACTGGCAATTATTTCATGGATTTTCTGCATTATAAGATAAACCACCATTAAATTGATGCAAAGGCAATTGAAAATGACATAAAAGTAGTATTTATCCTTTTAAATTGTGACGCGAAATGCACATATCATAGTGTAGGTACCGCAAGATAGGTTATAGATATTGGTATGTAACTACATCAAATAAGGATATGCCACATGCCCCTATACGCCAGATGACCTAATTTCGTTAAATCACAATCAATTCTGCTCAATAGTTGGATGTCTCGTCTATTGCTTTCATTTACAGTCAACACACTTTCTCACTTGGTTTCGATAACTACTACGACTATCCAATGCAGCATTGCTATTGGAGTTAATTTTGTCTTTCCATGATCATTCGTACTATTTTTTTTGATATATCCAAGTTACCTCACTAAGAAATCAAAGGAGCATCCACAGCTGCTTTGAATGGTGGGACTCTCAAAACACCTAAACATGAAAGGGACTGTCTATTTGGTAGTTTACTAATTTAAAATTTGGTACCAATTTTTTCGCACCATATATCAGTGACACATGACACTATCAAGTTGTCTAATTCCCAACTCGATGTCAATCAAAATTTTGCACCATACAAACAACAACACATGTCACTAACAAAGAAAAACATTTTACATAAAACTCTCAATTACAACTTTGCCTGATATGATTTACATGTATTAGAACTTTGTTCAAACAAGTGTAATGGACAACTTATTATTCTAGATAAAGATTTCACAACAAAAAAAGCATAAGGAAAATGTTCTACCAAATTATGACTTTTCACCATGAACTATTCATATAACAAGTGACCCTATTCCTATATTTATCATAATATTAAAAATGCACACTTTTGTAAGCACAATACAATTGTAGTGTAAAAATCACTAATAACATGCAAATATGGACTTGAACTAGTGGCAAGAAAATGATAAAACCCAAAATGGGAAAATAAAAGAAAAAACTAAAATTAAACTAGGGCAAAACCATCATCCATGCTAAAGTTTCTTACTTCAAATAAATAATTAGGTACCAAAGCAACCCACAACTCATCATCAACAAATAAAAAAGCAAAAAACAAATAGGCACAATAAGAGAAGAATTGGAGACTAATAATAAAACCTGATTTGAAGCTGAAAAAGACCATTCAACTAATAAACTAATTCTAATATGATCAGAATGTCTTGTCCTCCTGACTCCTATATGATTAGTAAATATCATGAATTCAAAAGAAAGAGAGTCTAACCCTTGATGGCTAGGATACATTCTCCCCTTCAGATTTCGCCGGTGAGTCTGTGAATTCGTCTCCCTTCTGACTGCCACTCCAGCGCAGTGACAAGGAGGAGAGTGCCGGTGCCTCCACTCCGGTTAGTAGTTTAGATTAGGTTTTTTCAATCCTCGCAGGTGCTGCACTCGGGGAGATGGCGACGCTTCTTCTTCGAGTTTGTCTTCTGGGCTCCGATCCTCCTGGACTTCATCCATCTGGACATAGTCAACGGAGCTCCGACGCAGATTCTTGCCGTTTCCTTGGTGCCAGGTGTTTCAGATAATTAAAGGGTTCAATGGTGACGACTGCGGCTCCAGAGGGCTCGTCATTAGAGGCACGTGCACGAAGACTTCTAAACTATCAACGAAACTTATGAAACTAGTTTTGAATCAAAAGAGCCCTCAAGTTTTTTTTTATTTAGATTGGTGATCCTATTCGTTTCGTGTTGGCGTCACCGGAGCAAACACTCATATTCATCCATCTGTTTCTAATTCTACCCCTGGCAATATCCCCTCTCCTCCGGCCTTCCCTTTCACTCCCCCCTCTTGCGCCGCACGCACTACCCCTCCCCCCCGACCTCGTCGCCGACGCCGCGATGCCGGAGGACGTCGAGATGAATGACTCCGCCCAGCCCGCCCCCGTCGCCGCTCCTGCGGCCGCCGACGCGCCCGCGCCCGCGCCCGCTCTCTCCACCCTGCAGCGTGAGTAGCCCGTCCCTCTCGCCCCCCAGTCCCCCAGTCCCCCCGGCCCCCAAACCCTAGCTCAGCTTCCGGCGCCGTAGGCGCTCAGCGGGCGGTAGCTCACGTGTGTTTGCCTCGCCGTGCCTGCAGATCTGAAGGAGATCGCGTCCGTGGTCGAGGCGGGGTCGCTGACCAAGGAGGTCCGCCGGATCTCCCGCGCCGTCCGCCTCACCGTCGCCCTGCGCCGCCGCCTCGCCGCCCCCGACGTCGCGGCCTTCCTCGCCTTCGCGCTGCCCGCTTCCTCCGAGGCCTTCACCCGCCTCTCCCCTCTCCTCCCCAAGGTATCTTTCTGCCTGCAACTTCAGAGCTCTCGTGATTTGGAATAAACATGCAATTATGCCTGAATCTGATGACACCGTCAAGGACATGAGCGTCTGATGCTATGTTTGTTATTCTACATGTGTTACATGTGTCTTGGCTGCCGATTGACATGGTAGATCGTTCTGGATTGATTGGCCTTTTAGAAGTAAATGGGAACTCATAATCTAGGCCATTGTAGTAGAGTAACTGTTAGCCGGCTACTGTATGGTGATGCAACGCGAGCCTTTAGATTTTCCAATTCAGTTTCACTGTTGAAGTTCACGACGAATCAGGTTCCTTCTGTTCTGACGATTAATTGGTAATTGACACAGTCTTGGGTATCTCGTATTATGTCTGGCATGAGATCGTTCTGGATTGCTTGGCTTGTTAGAAATAAATTAGAACTCATAATCTAAATCATTGCTGCAAAGCAACTGTTACTGTGTGGTGATGCAGTACAAGCCTTGAGCAATTGCATATTTTGCAATTGAGTTTCACTACTGAAGTTCATGTCAAACCAGGTTCCTTCTGTTCTGATGCTTAACTGTCACTCCCTCTGATCCAAAATAAGTGTCGCAGCTTTGAACTGAGGTTAGTTCAACCTTAGTTGAAAACTGCGACACTTACTATGGATCGGAGGTAGTAATTGATAATCTCATGCTTGGTGCGTAGGGGGTTAGAACTTGCTTCGGATTAATTCTGTACACATCAAAATTTTCAAACTGAAGTGTTCTCTTGCTCAGAGGTGTTTTATGTTCATATGGTGTTACCTCCTTTAGGAAGATGGAAGTGAGATGGATGTTGACGCTGCAGCTCCAGCTGCTCAAGTTTCAATCAAGCATGGACTCCCAGAGATTGAAATATACTGCTACCTGCTTGTGTTGATTTTCCTTATTGATCACAAGAAATATGATGAGGTATGTCCGAGAGTTTCCTCCACTTTGTCATCATTAGTGATGAGACATACCAATTTGATGTTCTCTTCAGGCTAAAGCATGTGCAAACTCTAGCATTGCTCGTTTGAAGAATCTCAACAGGAGGACTGTTGATGTTTTGGCTTCTAGGCTGTATTCGTATTACTCGTATGTCCATGAACTCACCAACAGCCTTGCTGAAATTCGTGGGTGAGTTATTATATCATGAATTGTTATTCTCACTACACGGTATCTATACAGACCTTCCAGTGCGTCTCTGAGTAACTAGTAAGCGCTTTTTTCTGTTCGGTCCTGCTTTCATTTTCTTCTCATACAATTATCTCTTTGCAGAACTCTCCTTGGGTTGCACAGGATGGCAACTCTTCACCATGATGAGCTTGGGCAGGTTGTTCTGAGACCCTAGTTTTCAATTTTTTAGACATACAGCTTGAATGCTGTCAAATTATGGGGTTGACTTCTGGTTTCGATGGCAGGAAACTCTTCTTAACCTGCTTCTTCGCAATTACCTGCACTACAACCTATATGATCAGGCAGAAAAACTTAGGTCAAAGGCACCGCGTTTTGAAGCACATTCCAATCAGCAGGTAATCATAATTCATCAAGTATTTTATTTGCTCTCCTGTTTTTATGCTGAGTTGTTGCAGTTGAAGTAGAAATGCAATATGTCTTTATTCTTTGTACTAAGGCTGGTTATCGATTTAATGATGAACACCCTACGAAATTGTCATTCTTTCATTTGATCATGTGAAGGTATGTTGTAGACAAGAACTAATCTCCCTATTTTTCTCGCAGTTCTGCCGCTATCTGTTCTACTTGGGAAAAATTAGAACAATTCAGCTCGAATACACTGATGCTAAAGAGAGCCTCTTGCAAGCAGCACGGAAAGCACCCACTGCAGCTCGTGGATTCCGCATCCAATGCAACAAATGGGCTATACTAGTAAGGCTACTTTTAGGGGAGATACCAGAGAGAACTGTTTTCATGCAGAAAGGAATGAAGGCGGCTTTGACACCATATTTTGAGCTTACAAATGTAAGTTCACCTTCTTTGGAAAATATACATGTTACTGCTGCATGATACATTCTTAATTTTTTTTCATGTATGATCTCCAGGCTGTTCGAGTTGGGGACTTAGAAGTGTTTAGAGCTGTTGCAGAGAAATTTGGGAGCATTTTCAGTGCCGACAGGACATCCAATTTGATTGTGAGGCTGCGCCACAACGTCATCCGGACTGGACTGCGCAACATTAGCATTTCCTACTCACGTATCTCCCTTGCTGACATTGCCAAGAAACTGAGGCTAGATACTAAGACTGCTGTTGCTGATGCTGAGAGCATTGTAGCCAAGGCCATCAGAGATGGGGCAATTGATGCCACCATCGATCATGCCAATGGTTGGGTGGTGTCGAAAGAGACTGGCGACGTGTACTCAACAAACGAGCCACAGGCTGCGTTCAACTCCAGGATTGCGTTCTGCCTGAACATGCACAACGAGGCAGTCAAGGCTCTGAGGTTCCCCCCGAATTCTCACAAGGAAAAGGAGAGTGCAGAGAAGAGGCGTGAGAGACTCCAGCAGGAGGAAGAACTTGCAAAACACATGGCCGAGGAGGACGATGATGACTTCTAGATTCCCTCTCCATGCTTTCAGGTGCTGCCTGTTCTTTACGAAGAAGCTGGTACTACTCTGTCAATTTCAGGGGCCGCAGTCCAATATCCTTGCAGGGACAATCTGAATGATTACTCGGTGCGGTTTTTTATGTTCGTAGGAAGCACCTTATTTTTCACTGCAAATTCTTATATCACTACAAATTGGTAGGAAGTGCCTTATTTTTCCATGAGATACTGTAATCGAGGAACTGAGAGAGCTTGTCGGAAACTGTTTTGCACTGCATCCTGTGTTTGCTTTGTGGGAAGCTGATTGAGGACTAGTTCCATGTGTTGCTTCATTTTCGATGTACGTGATTCATCATATGCCTGTGGTGTTGCCTGTTTTCATAATCACTCTGCTAATGTTTTCGGGTGGCTGAAACTTTGTTGCCACTATTAACATTAGAGAATTGTACCTTTTAACTCGGTCATCTTGCGAAGTTGCAGTAAGGTGCTGCACTTTGCACTTAGCAGTACTGTTGAATGACGAGAAGAATTAGAAGAGAAGTTGAGGTTGTAAGCACAATCTTTTTAGGGTTCTACCCTGTTTAAGTGACATCTCTGTATTTCACTTAGGCGGACAATGAAGTATTCATGTTTGGCACATGCCAGGCCTGAGTGAAATCTATTAGTGTTCAACAGTAAAGCAGTACTTAACTGGTTCACTTGGCATTCATTTTTTATCTGTCTTGCATATAACCAGAATACAATTATACAGTGCAAGATTATATTCTAGCAGAAATAGCATTAATTATTTGTGTAGCAGGCTTTGGACAGCTAAGGCAGCTTAAGTTTTGTTCTGACGAAACAAGCCTAAGATGATACATCTGCAAGAATTGAGTAAAATGCAAGCGCGGTCCTAATTCTTTTCTAGAAGTGTCGATTGGGTCCTAATTCTTTCAAAATGCACATCTGGATCCTAATTCTTTCTAAGTTGTTCACCCGAGGTCCTAATTTCGTCTGAACGCCGCTGACCAGCTCGCGTGGCGCTTTGACTGCCGCCACGTCGACTCGAGGGCCCACGCGGGATAACGACCAGCCGTGCGTTTTTTCAAAAGAGCCCCCCAACCCTAATCTCTCCGCAGCCGTAGTCCTTTTCCTCTCCTCTTCCCCACCTCTCTCTGCTCTGGCGAAACAGGGGAGATCGACGGCGGTGGTCCGGTGAGAAGAGGCAGGTGCTTGTCCGACGGCGGCGCCGCTAGGATGGCGCCTGTGCATCGGCGACCCGGAGATCCTCCTCCACGATACGGTCAGTGTGGTGCCAGTAACCCTAACCCTTGATCCTCTTTTTCTGCGGATACCTATTTAGCTCGAATCGATGGTAGTATTTGACTGAATCCCTCGATACCTAGGACCACAAGAGGAGGTTTTTACCGTAGAAATCAACTATGCTGGATTTTTCTGCGGATTTGGCCGATCGAAGACGTATGTCGATGGGAAAGTTGCTCTGTTCGATGGTTGCGAAGTAGATACATGGTCTCCTCTCTGGCTCACTGATTTTATGCAGCAACTGGGATATAGTGACCAATCTAAGCATGTTATTTACTGGTTACTGCCTAGAAAGAATTTAGGCGATGGACTGCGGATTGTGGACTGTGACACTGACACTTTGCATATGACAGCAGTTGTTCCAAAATTCCAGTACTTTCAGTTGTTTGTTGATCACAAAGACATGGCCTTTGACAATGTAATTGATGATATTCATGTTAGTGGTACACCTGAGCTACCTCCTGTACTAAGCCCTAAATCTCCTGGGTTTAGCAGTGGAATAAGAGGAAGTCCCAGGTTTAAGGTGAAAGCTCATAAAGGCAGACTGAACCAATTTAATGCAGGCAGCAGCAATGAAGGGAGTAGCAGTGTTCCGCCAGTGGGACAAAATGTTGGACATGAGCTTAGAAGAAGCAGGAGGAAAATTGTGGTAGAAGAAGAAATCCCCAATGAAAATGACAGTGACAGTGATGACAGTGAATGGGATTCAGACTGGGTTGACTCTGACAATGAAGTAGACAAAGATGATGATGATCTGTATGAAGAATGGGTTGATGAAAAATTTGAGAAGAAGAAAAAGAAGAAATCAGAATGGGAGCAGGACAGTGATTATGATACAGATGAACTGCAGGAGCTACAAGATTTAGAGCTTGAAGATAGTGATTCAGCAGAGGAAGTGGAAGTAGTAGATGCACAAGGAAGGAAAAAAATGAAAAAGAAAGTGAAGCTGAAAAGGTGGAGGCCTGAGAACATGAAAGAAGTCAGTTTTCACATAGGCATGGTGTTCTTGTCTGTCATTGAACTAAGAGCAGCAATTCAAGAGTACATTGTGAAGCAGAGAGTGCAAATTCATTACATAAAGAATGATAAGCAGAGGATAAGGGCATGTTGTGTTGGAGATTGTCCCTGGTTCTTATTTGCTGCACCTGAGAGCAGGACCAAAGCATGGGTTGTGAAGAAGTATGTGGGTGAGCATACATGTGAAAGAGAGTGGGCACTCAAGCAATTTACAGCAAGATATTTGGCTGGCAAGTATGTGGAAACATTTAGAGCAGATGAGAAGATGACACTGCAGAACTTTGGCAGACTTGTTCAGTTGGACTACAACATGCAACCTAGTAGAAGTAAGCTAGCTAGAGCAAGGAGGATTGCACTAAAGAAAATTCATGGAGATGAACTTGAGCAGTATAATTTACTGTGGGACTTTGCAGCTAAAATCAGAAGATCAAACCCTGGCAGTACCATGTTTGTGAATGCAAACAATGGAAAGTTTGAGAACTGCTACATGGCCTTAGATGCATGCAAAAGGGGTTTTCTGCTAGCTTGTAGGCCCATTATATGCATTGATGGGTGTCACATTAAGAACACGTATGGTGGAGTGATGCTGACTGCTGTTGGAGTTGATCCTAACGATTGTATCTTTCCCATTGCAATTGCCATAGTAGAAGTGGAAGATACTGTCACATGGAAGTGGTTCTTGAACACATTGAAGGAGGATCTGAACATACAAAACACAGCACCATGGACATTGATGAGTGATAGGTAGAAGGTAGTAATAACATTTCATATTATCACACTGTAGCATTTCATATTATCATACTGTAGCATTTCATATTATCATACTATAGCATTTCATATTATCATACTGTAGCATTTCATATTATCATACTGTAGCATTTCATTTTATCATACTGTAGCATTTCATTTGTTTATTCTGCAATGTATGTAGGGGTTGATTAATGCTGTCAATGCAATATTTCCTCATGCACAACATAGATTTTGTGTGAGGCATTTGCATCAAAACTTTGCAAAGAACTGGAAAGGTGATGTAATGAAGAATAAATTGTGGCAAATTGCAAGAGCTACACATGAGGCAGACTGGAAGAAGTACATGCAAGAGATGAAAGAGCTGGACCAGGGGGCCTATGAGTACTTGGATGCAATTGACCCAAGGCAGTGGTGCAAGGCTTATTTCCATGAACTCCCAAAGTGTGATTTGCTTCTGAACAACAGTTGTGAAGTGTTCAACAAGTAAGTGGTAGTACTGTATCATTTAAATTGTCATACTGCATCCTTTCATACTGTTGGAACTGTAGCATTTCATTTGTTCTAACTGTAGTGATTTCATAGGTATATACTTGATGCCAGAGAAATGCCTATAGTTACTTGTCTTAAGAAGATCAAGGACCAATTAATGACTAGGTTTTATAGCAAGAATCTGGAATCTGAGGAGATGTGTGGTCAAATTTGTCCCAAAATTAGAAAGAAACTGGATAAAAATATTAACATGTCCAACAACCGCACTGCATTACCAGCTGGACAACACATATTTCATGTTATGGGCATGGTTGGGGAGTATGATGTGAACATACAGAAGGAGGAGTGCTCTTGTAGGGCATGGCGGCTCTCAGGAATTCCATGTAGACATGGAGTTGCATGTTTAAGACATGAAAGAATTAAACCAGAGGATGTTGTCAACAAGTGCTACAGCATTGATGCTTTCAAAGCTGCTTATGGCAAGATCATAATGCCATGTAGTGATCCTAGAGTGTGGCCTAAAACTAATGGGCCTCAAATGCTGCCACCAAACTATGAGAAGAAAGTTGGTAGGCCTGGAAAGAAGAGAAAGTAGAACCCACTAGAGGAGGACAATGGAACTAGGATGAGCAGACATGGCATTATTGGGCACTGCAGTGTGTGCAATCAACCAGGACACAACAAAAGAAAGTGCTCTGAACTAGGTAGAGGACAACCAACAACAACACAAGATCCTGGAGCAGCACATAAGGCAGAAGCAGAACAGGAGCCAGCAGCAGAAGAGGCAGCAGCAAAACATGATCCAGCAACAGAACATGCATCAGTAGAACATGCAGCAATAGAACATGCAGCAACTGAACATGCAGCAACAGAACATGTGCCAACAACTGAAGATGAGCCATCAATACAAGAACATGTGCCAATTCAGGTTGTGCTTCCAGAAACACAACAAAGAACTAAACTACCAGTCAAGAGAAGGCCCAGTTGCAAGGTGCATTTCCCTTAAATGTTTCCCTCAAATGTTGACAGATTTCTGAAATTGCAATGCTCAACAACATTTCTGATTTTTTTGCAGAAAAAGGCATGTCCACAAGTGGGCAAAAGTACATCCAATATGATATCTTCTTCTATGACTTATGATCTTGCTTCATCTACTGTGATTGAGATTTTACAGGACCAAGTGAGAGCTTTTTATTCAAATGCAATGTTAATAAATGCAATGCCATATGTTCTTCCAGAAATTCACCTACATTACTAACTAAATGTTTGGTTGGTTTGTAGGCTATAGCTACTCAACAATCTCAAACAGCAGTGCCAGCTCCTCTACCAGAAAGCCAGTTCGTTGCAAACTGCAGAGATGCCCTGCCACCTCCAAGAAGCCATACTACTGCTACACTAGGTTTGAAGAGAAGGAAGAAAGTGAAAAAAACTAAGGAGAACAAAGCCCCAACAATTCAGAAGTGAAGACTACAAAGCTGTTATGGAAAGAAGCAGTGTAGGATGTTTTTCTTTTGCTTAGGAAACAAGATGGTTTGTAATGAAATCTCATGCTGAGATGTGGCTTTGGGTTTCACACAAACCATGGAAATGTAATGCTATTTCCTACTTTTGTTGCACAACTTGAAGACCTTGTAATGCTGAATCCATCTATCTGTCTTTCAGACTGCTTTTAAGTTCAATTACTAGTAAAAGAAAGGCCTTGTATATTACCGTTTATTTGTGCTGTCAATGCTAGTAAAAAAATTGCTGCCAAAGTACAGAAAAACAACCAAAATGCTGCCAAATTTTAGTTCAATTTCATTGCAACAGTACATGATCAACATCTGGATACACCAACAAGCATTGAACACTAGATACATCATACTACCACATCACTTCTTAAATCCTACACACACCACTACTACAATCAGTACAACAAGTGCACTGAGAATACTCCTACAGAGAAAAATGAGCTCATTCATCTTCTGCATTGCTTCTGCATACACCACAGTCTCAACAGTGCTCTGCTTCTTCACTTGCACCTCTGTTTCTTCACTTGCAATGACACCAGCTGAATCAAAACTGCTCAATCCAGGGCTGACGTATCCACCTCTCACCAAAAAATCTAAATAGTTGTCTGGTCCATCTTCCCAATAATAATGTTGGCAAGTATTTGGTGGAATCTGACAGAAATTGAGTAAAAAAAATTCAGCCAAAAAGAAACACAGAAAAATCAAATCGATTGGGCACTTGTAGAAGATCTTACATGGTGGTTGGGGCACTTGTAGAAAATCCTGCCAGGATTTGCCTCTGATTTTGATACAAGACGAATTGTAGATCGAATGCGGCAGCTAGGGCATGGTACCAACGGCAGCATACCCGCTTGGGCCGGCGATGATATGGGCGGCGAGAAAAGGGCTAATGCCGGAGGTGGAGGAGGCGCTTGGGCAGCCTTCTTCCCGCGGTGCTTCACGGCAGATGAGCTAGCGGCGGCGGACATGGCGGCGACGGCGCGGCGCCAGAGAGAGGAAGAGAGCAAGCAGAAGACCTAGGGACTGGGGAATGATGAAAGCATAAACTCCAGGGGCCAAACTGCTTAAATTCCCAACCTCCAACCGCGGGAAATCTCCCGCGTGGGCCCTCGAGTCGACATGGCGGCGGTCAAAGGGCCACGCGAGCTGGTCAGCGGCGGTCAGACGAAATTAGGACCTCGGGTGAACAACTTAGAAAGAATTAGGATCCAGATGTGCATTTTGAAAGAATTAGGACCCAATCGACACTTTTGGAAAAGAATTAGGACCGCGCTTGCATTTTACTCGCAAGAGTTTAACATGTAAGTTCAGATGGAAAGATCTTGATAAACTTTTAGCATAGCTGGCCTTTCTTTGGGTGAAGGGGTTAGGCAATCAAATGCCACAGAGATGCACCACTTCACGTTGTTCGCCTCGGTTTTGGGTCGTGGAAGTCGTTTATCCAAAATTTCTTCCAGGAGGAATTTGTCATTGAGTGAAGAATGAAAAGCTTGTATGTCTCCTGGATGTTTGCCCATCAACACCTCGAGCACCACCACGCCAAAGCTATATACATCACATTTCTCCGTAACTAGAGAAGTGTAGGAACATTCTGTGTCCAAAACAGGAACATAAGAATTAGGATTATGCATTAGTGCAGAGTGTTCAATCTAACAGAATTTAGATAGCATTGTGTTGAATAAACATACCAGGTGCTATGTACCCATAAGTCCCTGCTAGTGCACTCCAGTTTGATGAATCAGGTTTCAACATTCTTGCAATACCGAAATCCGAGACAAACCCCTTGTAGCCAGCATCTAGTAAGATGTTTCTGCTTGTGATGTCTCGATGAATTATGGGTGGGTGAACATCATGGTGGAGGTAAGTGAGGGCTTGAGCCACATCTCTTATTAGAGCCACCCTTCTCTGCCAATGGAATTGGACTGCTAGTTCTTCATTGCTTAAGATAGAAGCTAGATTTCCTTTCTCTATATACTGGCATACAAGGAACCTGTACCGTGGATGAGAGCAATACCCATATAGCTTGACGATGCTGCGTTGGCGAATTTTTGTTAACATTTCAATCTCATGCTGGAATCTTTCTTCATCATGTGCCTCCTCATCGCCTCCATGGGAGTTTCTTTACTGCAACCACTTGTTCATCTGGAAGTTCTGCCTTATAAACAATACCACTGGATCCTTCTCCAATGCAATGTTTCTCATCGAAATTGTCAGTTGCATTGATAATATCCTCAAATGCCATTTTGCCATCAAAGCTCCATACAGAGAATACATCCCTTTTGTTCACATCATCAGTTCTTTGAGATACTTTCTTGCGGCAAATAAAAAAGGCAATTACACATGCTACTACTACTGAAATAGCAGCAGCAAACATAGGAAGACCGATTGACAGTATAATCTTTTGATGCTTTCTCCTATGATCCGCAAGGGGTAAATTACAAGGAGAGATGCCAATAAGGTCTCCACAAAGATCTTTGTTGTGGAGAAACCATTCTGCTGATGCATTGCGAATCCCTTTCGGGATAGACCCTTCTAGGAAGTTGTATGATACATCAAACATTGTTAGGCTTTGCATGCTTGCAATCGAAACAGGGATGGCACCGCTGAATTGATTGTGTGAGAAGTTTACAAACATCAATACCTCTAGTTTCCCGAGTTCCGGTGGTATTGGTCCGCTGAGACTGTTCATACTAAGATCAAGCATTCTTTGCAGCGAAGCTAAATTGCCCAAACTACCAGGAAGACTTCCATTAAGGCTGTTGTTCACTTGTTCTCCATATGTAATGACTACAGTTTCAGACAATTTCCAATCTCTTCTGGTACTTTACCACTTAAATGGTTGCTTGAGAAATGAAGAATCTCAAGATTACTAAGTTGGCCGATTTGCTTAGGGATCTGGCCAGATAGTTTGTTGTTTCTTAAATCCATCCAGTACAGATTCGTTAGCTTGCCGATTTCTGGTGGTATCTCACTGGTTAACCTATTGAAACTCAGTATGAGTCTTCTAAGATTTTTTAGCCCCCCCAACTCAGAAGGTATACCACCTTCTATCATGTTGTCTTCGAAATTAATACCTGTTAAGTTTTTACATGAGCCCCAGTTTGGCGAGAGCCGGCCTTTAAATCTGTTTGAAGACAAATTAATGTCACTCAGATGTGGATACACCCCAAATGCTTCAGATATGTCTCCCTCGATCTGATTTTTGCTGATTCCGAAATATATTAGTGAACTACAATCCCTCAAACCTTTTGGGACAGGCCCGTCAAAATTGTTGCGAAAGAGTCGGAAAACCTGAAGCTTCTTACCGTGGCACAAGTCTGGCAAGTGTCCGGTCAGCTGGTTGTCAGCTAGTTGAATGGCGACCAAATTGGTGAGGTTGGAGAGTCCAGGAGGCAAAGGACCAGAGAACTTATTATTGAACAGTCGCATTTCTATCATGCTCTTCAATTTCCCAAAACTTTGATGAATTGATCCGGGCAATTTGTTTTGGTAGGATATAAGATATTCCAAATTTTCCAAATTTCCAAACTCGGGCGGCAACTCGCCAGAGAGACTGTTGTTATTTATTGCTATTTGTTTTAGTGAAGACATGTTCCCAATACTTGGCGGCACTGATCCAACAATGAAATTGTCCGAGAGTAGGAGTGCTTCAAGATTCACAAGATTTCCAAACTCATGAGGGATTGATCCAGTTATATGGTTATCCCAAAGAGCAAAATAGGTCAGTGAAGTAAGATTGCCGGCAACACCAGAGGGAACTGAGCCAGTTAAACGGTTCACCGACAAATCCAACCCAATCAAGTTGGAGAGCATCCCAAACTCTACAGGGACCGGACCAGTGAGCTGGTTCAGATATGCGGTGAGGTATCTGAGCTCTGTGAGGTTTCCAAAGGAGCGCGGAAGTATGCCATTGAGGTTGTTTTTCTCGAATACTAGTTCTTGCAGAGTCTGGACTTGTCCTAACTCTTCAGGTATGGGTCCTGACAAACGGTTGTCAGAAAAGACCAGAGAGTTGAGGCTGGTCAAGTTTGCAAGGGCAGAAGGTATTTGGCCAGAAAGGATGTTGGAGCCCAAATCCATCTCTCTCATGTTCCGAAGCCGTCCAAGGTGCCATGGGATGTTACCTGACAGCCTATTCCCAGGTAGATAAAGAAAGGCAAGTCTTGAGAGATTACCTAAAGCAGCAGGGATTTGGCCGGTGAGATTGTTGCTGGAGAGGTCCAGTAGCGTGAGCCTCCGGAGGTTGCTTAACGACGAGGGTATGGACCCCCATAGCTGGTCACCGGAGAAGTTGAGTGTGGAGAGCATGGGAAGAGAGCCGATGCCTGGAGGGATGGCACCGGTGAGACCATAGTTGCCGCTGAGGTCGAGGTTGACGAGGTGAGGGAGCGACTGGAAACTCAAGGCGTCCAGCCGCCCTGCAAGGCTGCAATGCCGGCCCCGCCAAGGGAGATTCCTCTGATGACCTTGGCCGTGGCTCCTCGGCGTGACCGAGTGTCGCCGCAGGTGATGCCGGTCCAGTTGCACGGGTGCATGCCGCCGTCGTCTCTCCAGGTTCCCAGCGAGGAGTGCTTGGAGGAGTACTTGACAGATGATTTCCAGCGGAGAAGCGCCGCGGCCTGGGATCTCAGCGAAGTGCCGCGGCCTGCCGCTGTTGCTGTCGCGGGCGTGGCGCGGCCCTCGGCTTGCGTGGAAGCAAGGAGAAGGAGAAGCAGCAGCAGGGCAAGCGAGAGAACCGGGTGATGCAGCAGCGGCGGCGGGGTCACCTTGGGATCCGCCATGGCGCGTGCGTACTACGATGATATGACTGCATGCATACGCCCAAGTGATCATCACGTAAACTAGTTAACCGATCAAAAATACTCCCACAAGTCTCGGAGCAAGAGGCACAGAGAAGAAGAGCGCATGTACGTACCTCTGGTGTCCGGAGCGGAGCCGAAGGCAGCAGCCGTTTCGTGCTTTGGTTTTGCTGGACTGAGACGAGCGAGTTGGCTCCTATAGTGCGGCCGGCCGGCCGGCTATATGCTTTCCATACGCAATAGGACCGAAATCTTCTGCGTTTTCTAGCTCGAGATGTTTCAAGGCTGACAAACATCAGACTTGGAGCGGGTTTACTGGTCTAAGATTGGTCGTGCTTCCAGTCCGTTGAAATAATACTGTATCGATCGTGCTTGCCCTGTAGCTGTAGAGATGGACTTTTTCCTCGGTTTTCTTGGAAAATTTAGGGCCTAAGTTGAACTTGTATGTATTCGACATGGACAGCATTAATGTCGATGTGTGCAATTGTCGTGCGGCGTTGGACTTTTTCTTGAAAACTTTAGCATGTATATATGAGTTGACGGTTAACACAATCAGTAGGAGTACGGTTCAAACAGGGAAACTGTCGGCATGACCCACAAAATTTTCAACCTACATGTTTATTCATTGGACGCGACTCGGTAGCACCTGTTGGCCAGGTAGTCAATCAGGGCACACACCCGTAAAAGGAAACCCCCCTTGCCAGCTGTCATGTATAAAAGGAAAGTGCTGTCCCTCCCCTCCCGTAACAGAAAGATGCCAGAAGATTTGGTCCCCACCAAATCAAGGACCGAATCAAAACGCATCCACGCACCCTGGACGCCGCTGCCCAAAGCAGCGTCCACCCTACGCTAACCACACAAATATCTGGATCCTTCTCCCCTGCTTCTCCTTCTCCCCCCCCCTCGTTTCCCCCAAAGAACGCCATTGACACTGGATCCAGAACTCCATGGCTACAGCTGAAGTTTCACCCAACCCCAAAAATCCAACAACACCTACCAGGAAACTCTTGCCCCACACCTCCTTCCCTGTTAGCCCTGCCTTCTCCTACATCTGCTGGTATGTCTATGTTCATCCTTCCCCCCATGGCCAACCTCTTTGCTGCAGCAAAAAAAGGATTTGCAAGTCAAAAAAAGCATAAGACATAGGAGGGACAAAAAACAGTAAAAAAGCATAGGAATTGTAGAGAATTAGCATCCACATGGTTAGCAAGACTCAGATCTAGAAAAGGAGGTGTTGTTCCAAAAAAACACATGCTTGTAGGCAAGTTGAGTCGACAGGGTTGGCAGGTTGAGTTATATCTGCAAGCAAGATCTGTTTCCCACCTAGTTTTTGTTTTGATGCATGCATTTACACTAGTTTCAAGACCAGTAAATCTAGGCAAATCAAGTTATGTTTCCACGCAATTGCTGTAATGTAAAAAAATTGGGCAAGTGCTGTAATGTAATGCAGGCAAGTCTTGTTCTAGTGCAGGCAAGTGCTGTAATGTAATGCAGGCAAGTCTTGTTTTAGTGCAGGCAAGTGCTGTAATGTAATGAAGGCAAGTCTTGTTCTAGAACAGATAGTAGTACCTAATAAGATGCCTTCTTTTGGACATTGTGAATTTTTTTGAAGACCAGCCTAAAATTTCATGTATAGTGGGGCTAGCCAACTTGATGAGATAAAAATGTGGGCAAGTACTGTAATACAAATGTAGGCAAGTGTTGTTTCTACTGCAGACAAGTGTTGTAAAAAAAGAAGTTTTTTATTCAGTAATGCAGAAAAGATATGTAGCATGAGAGATAGGTAGAAAGAAGTACCTAATAAGTTGCCTTCTTTTTGACTTCTTTTGCCAACTTCACAACCTTACTACCAATAAAAAATGGTGCTTTAGTAACTGTGAATCCTGTATACAAAACCTGTGGCAACCGCTGATAGAACTTTGGCAGAAGTGAACCAGAAAGCTACGAGACATTAGGCAAGTGGACAACATAGTAGTATAAGGATGTTCTGCAAACGAGTTATACAAAGCTATGTCAAGTCCAAGCACGCATGTTCAAAACACATGTCATATATTGTAACGCCCTCGATGCGGCTATATCTCCCACGTGTCAAAGCACGACTTAGAGGCATAACCGCATTGAAAGCAATATCGCAAGTGAGGTAATCTTCACACAACCCATGTAATACATAAGGGAAAAGAGATACATAGTTGGCTTACAATCGCCACTTCACACAATACATGAATAAAGCATTACATCACACAAATATAATCAAGGTCCGACTACGGAACCAAAATAAAAAAAGAACCCCAAATGCGACAAGGTCCCCGATCGACCCCAACTGGGCACCACTACTGATCAACTAGAACGAAACAACACAAATGACAAGATCTTCACCGAGCTCCTCCTGAGCTTGGTTGCGTCATCTGCACGGACTCATCGGCACCTGCAAGCTAGTTTTGGAAGTATCTGTGAGTCACGGAGACTCAGCAATCTCGCACCCTCGCGATCAAGACTATTTAAACTTATGGGACGGGTAAAAGGTATGATGTGGAGCTGCAGCAAGTGCCTAACATATATGGTGGCTAACATACGCGAATGAGAGCGAGAAGAGAAGGCAAAGCACGGTCGAGAAACTATGATCAAGAAGTGATCCTAGAACAACCTACGTCAAGCATAACTCCAACACCGTGTTCACTTCCCGGACTCCGCCGGAAAGAGACCATCACGGTTACACACGCGGTTGATGTATTTTAATTAAGGTCAACTTCAGGTTTTCTATAACCAGACATTAACAAATTCCCATCTGCCCATAACTGCGGGCACGGCTTTCGAAAGTTCAAATCCCTGCAGGGGTGTCCTAACTTAGCCCATCACAAGCTCTCACGGTCAACGAAGGATGTTCCTTCTAGCGGGAAGACCCGATCAGACTCGGAATCCCGGTTACAAGACATTTCGACAAGTTAAAACAAATCCAGCAACACCGCCCGAATGTGCCGACAAATTCCGATAGGAGCTGCACATATCTCGTTCTCAGGGCACACTCAGATGAGACATCCTACGAGTAAAACCAAACCTCAAGTTGCCCCGAGGTGGCCCTGCAGTCTGCTCGGTCGGACCAACACTCAGAGGAGCACTGGCCCCGGGGGGGGGGGGGTGGTGTTAAAATAATGATGACCCTCGAGAGAGCGACTCCCAAGGGAAAAGTAGGTGGTGGTGAGGCAAATGGTAAAACCAAGGTTGGGCATTGCTGGAGAAGTTTTATTCAAGGCGAACTGTCAAGGGGTTTCCATTATTACCCAACCGCGTAAGGAACGCAAAATCCGGGAACATAACACCGATATGACGGAAACTAGGGTGGCAAGAGTGGAACAAAACGCCATGCATAAGGCCGAGCCTTCCACACTTTACCAAGTATATAGATGCATTAATTAAATAAGAGATATTGTGATATCCCAACAAGTAAACATGTTCCAACAAGGAACAACATCTCCATGTTCCAACAAGGAACAAACTTCAATCTTCACCTGCAACTAACAACGCTATAAGAGGGGCTGAGCAAAGCGGTAACATAGCCAAACAACGGTTTGCTAGGACAAGATGGGTTAGAGGCTTGGTTTAACAACATGGGAGGCATGATAAAGCAAGTGGCAGGCATCGTAGCATAGGCATAGCAAAAGAGCGAGCATCTAGCAAGAAAAGATAGAAGTGATTTCGAGGGTATGATCATCTTGCCTGAGATCCCGCAAGGAAGAAGAACGAGTCCATGAAGAAGACAAGCGGGCAGAGTCGAACGGGTCCTCACAAACGCGACGTTATCGGAACCAACCCGAAGAAGCAACACCGGAAAGAAAGCAAACAACATAGTAAACAACCATCACATAAGCATGGCACGATGCGCAAACAAGTATGATGCATGTCCGGTATAATGAGGCATGGCATGGCAAAGTGCACAAACAATCCTACAAATTAAGTGGAGCTCCTTATGCAACGGAGTTACATATTGAAGAAACACCACATGACTTATTTAGTTCTCTCTCGTTTATGTACCCAACAATATTAAATGTTGTTAAACATGGCAAGAGGGTGAAGCAAAGTAAAACTACCTATCTAGTCAAGTTTAAATGAGGCCGGAATAACAAAACAACAAATCCGGAAACTCCTCTTGTGCATATATTAGGTTTGGTCCTGTTCTTCCCTAAACATAATTTTAGAGTTATTAAACATGCAAGAAAAGTGCACCATGTTAAACTATGCATTTTTCTACCCCATTTACATATAAAGATTATTAAAATCCGAGTTACGGTTATTTAGTTATGAATTAAATTATTTTAGCATGTTATTTAAGCAAATTAAAGCAAACAGCAAGTTAAACACCTCAAACATGCATGAAAGTTGGATATTGTGAAACTAGATGAAATTCTAGTCAAGTTACATATATAAATCATTTCCATCCGATGCACGGTTTGAGAGTTATGTTATGCATGAACTAGGAGGACTTTTTTGTAAAACTTCAGTCTCAGGATAAAT